TACATTTTTAAAAACTTTTATATGTAACATGTGTTCAATTTTTGTGTAATATTTTTTTGGTTGATCTACTTATATAAAAAATGATCTATGTTCACCTTACCCTTAAATTTGCTAATATGCTTGTTTATATATCTATATCATTTAATTCTGAGTTTGTACGTTTAAACGTTTTTGATTGGCTAAGAACGAAACTATGTGGCCTGCAATGTGATCTTAAGATGGCGAATACTAATTTTGATATAAATAAAAATATCAAATTATGATGATATATTAAATTTTTGTATATAACGTAATATAACGTAATAATTATTGTAGTATGATATAAAAATTTTTGAGGTTAAATTCTGGATTTAAACATTTAAACATCTTTTCTTTAACTAGATTAGAACCGAACAATGTGACCTACAATGTAATCTTTAAATAGTAAATTCTAACTTAGATATAAAAATATCGAAATTATGATGATATAAATTTTCTTTAAAAAAATGCAATAATGATAATCATATGATGTAAAAATATAGAGATCTTGATGATTTAAATTTATTGTAAAATATTGCACTAACAATTGTGATGTAATATAAAAATAACAGGATGATAATGATGATAATCAAATTTAATGTAAAATATCGTAATAATGATTGCGATATGATATATTAATTGTAATATAAAAATATTGAAATTATAATAATTTAAAATTACTGTAAAATATCATAATAAAAATTGTGATATAAAGTAAAAACAACGAGATAATGATGATAATTAAATTTACTGTAAAAATATCATAATAATGATCGTGATTTGATATATTAATTTTTATTATAATTGTAATATTATAAGATATTCATTTCTATTATAATTAAATCATAAATTTGAATATGTCATAATAATGATACTTAGAAATTTACATTAATTACTAAAATTAAATTATCAGAAACATTAAATTAGCTTGACGATTAACTACACACTCTGATTAAGTATAAATTTTTTAAAAACAATGAAATAAATAAAAATAATATAATCACTGAATTAAATAATAAATCTAATTGAAACACTGAAATTTATTATGTAATACAAAAAATCATAATAGAAAAAAATTTATATGGATTAAATGATATAGATATGAAAATAATATAACAAAATTAACATTTAATATAGATATAAATAGAAACAAAAAACGTGACTAAAAAAAAAATTAATAATGAGATATTTTATGCAGGGGCATAAAATGACATATCGGAAAATTAAATTACGACATTTATTACATTGATACTGAAAAATGACTAGAAATGACATAAATAAATAACATTAACATAAACACAGCTAAAAAAGTCTTGAACGATAAATTAAGCAAATATTACACAAAAATAAAAATTAACTAAAACCCCCAAAAAAATTATTAACATCACATGATTCAAAATTACAAATTTATCATATCTTTAAAACTCCGTTTGTACTAACCAATAATAATAAAATACTTACTATTATTTTAAATTTGTAAAAAAAAAATTTGTAATATTATTTATTAAAAAAAAAAAAAAATCTTATGAGAATAAATATAGATAATATAGATAATTAATATAAGTAATCACAATCAACCATATAATTCAAAAAGATACGATTACAAGATAAATTTAAATAGACACTCATTAATAAATATTTTAGTATTAATATACAATTCAATAATCACTATTAATTAATTAAATAAAATAAAATTAAATGATATAGAAAATTATAATAATAATATATTAACAACAGCAAAATTTCGTATTATAGATAATAATATAAAAGTTATCAAAAACAGTTAGCAATAATATAAATGAAATCAAAATTATATAATATAGTAATAAAATTAATAACACGGTAAAAGATATAAATAGAACCAAATTGAAAAGAAGAAAAAAAAAAAAAAATGAAAAAAATACCCCTTTAATAAATTGTTCATGATATATTATTGTTGAATTAATTAATTACCTGTTTATATATTAAGCAAAATACCACCACTTCGAAACTTATGACCAAGAACAATTGAAGAACGTAAAGCTGCAGATGCTTCTCGGATATGAAGATCTAGAAAAAAATATGATTCAACGGAAAAAAAACATAACTATAATATCAGTTGATATTTTCATGAGACGACTTCTTTTGCACATCATAAATTCGAAAATATACATGAATATACCTATTGCCACACTATACTGTTCCCTACAGAAACACAAGAAACATGTTGTGGATCAGGAAAAATCAAGTAAATTCTAAATAAAAATAAATAAATAAATAAAAAATAAAAATAAAAATAAAAATTTATCTGACAAAATTAATTAAAACTTCTAAAATACAGATTAACATCAACAAATGACAATACAAATATAAAAGATTTATTTATCAGAAACGATAAAATAGAAAAGATTTTTGAAAAAATATTAGAGCTTATAACAGTGCTTTTGCATTTACATCCATGGGCGTTAAATTAGACAAAAAACTTGCAAACGGTAAGAAATTCTTTAGAGACATAGTATTAAAATACATGCTAATTATCAAATAGGTAGAACCGGAATTTATACAAAACAAGTTCAAGGTGGGATCTATCATTCAATAGGATCACTCATATCTGATAATGAAACCCCAAAATTTCTTCAACTATACATCTACGACACCAAATTCGAAACGAACAACAGACTTACAATCATGTCACGACTACGTCGAGATACTTTAGAATTTATAAAAAAATTATTGAACCAAAATAATCCTTTTATAGCAAATTTTCGTTCAATATCCACCTATAGTAATATAACAGATCTTAGCCTCTGTATTAAAGCAAACCACGGCTTAGATCAATGAATTTATAATACACCAACAGCTTCACAAGTAGCTGCAATATGGTCGAAGACAATAACCCAGAAGGTTATGCAAAACATGACATAATTATACATTCTCAATCACAAGGCCTACAAAGAGTATCAGAACTAAACGGATCGTATGACTCAATGCAATACCCTCTTCTATTTCCTTACAGGGACTACGCTTGGCTTCCAGAAATATTGCAAAACACAACGAAAAAAAAGTTACTACAAAACAATACTATTCCTACAAATTACATTTTCAAAAACCTCTATCATTACTATTTTTCAGTGGAAGACTATTTCAGCAATACGTAGTTGACAATTACGTTAAAATAGAATCCACACGACTCAATTATTTGCGTTTCAACCAGAACAAAATCTGCCAAGAGATTTATCAAGGCTTGCAAGATTCTTTACAGTCAGAAATAGTCAAAACTTCAAATGTAGAGCAATGAATTATTCTACCTTCAACGTTCATAGGCGGTCCACACGACATGTATCAAAGATATCAGGACGCGATGGCTTTGGTCCAAACATATGGAAAACCAGACTTATTTATCACAATTACATGTAATCCCTGGTGGGATAAAATAAAATCAGAACTTTTACAAAGACAAACTCTACAAGACAGACCAGATCTTATAGGTAAAAATAATTTATAAAGAAAAGAAAATCCTATATATATGAATTTTTAATTTATTTATAAAACTCAAATATTAAAATTTTAAATTAAATGAAATTTTATTAACCATAATAATTTATTCAAATTAACTACTATAAAACAATACTGGTCCCTTATATATTTAATTACTAAATTATGATATCATTACAATAATTTATTTAAATTACATTTATTTAAAATTTAAAATATATGACAAATTTATTTATTTCAAAATATACTCAAATTTATAGCCAGAATCTTTTGCACGAAATTGGAAGAATTAAAAAAAGACCTTTTCAATCGAAATGTTCTTGGCAAAGTAATCGCACATATACACATAGTGGAGTTCCAAAAATGTGGTCTCCCACACGCACATTTATTATTAATATTGCATCCAGACAACAAACTTCATGACGCCAATGACTACAATGCGATTGTAAATGCAGAAATACCTAATCTATTAGAGCAACCAAGATTATATCAAACAGTCATATCATTCATGATTCATAGTCCATGTGGACCTCATAATAGAAATGCACCGTGTATGAAAGATAACAAGTGTACAAAAAATTATCCAAAAGAATTTAACCAAGAAACAAAGGAAGGAAATGACTCTTACCTATTATATAAACGACACGATAATGGAAAATACATATTAATAGGAAATGCGATAATGGATAACCATTGGGTTATTCCATACAATCTCTATCTTACTCTTAAATACAACTGCCATATTAACGTTGAAATATGTTCGAGCATTAAATCCATAAAATATTTGTATAAATATGTATACAAAGGCCACTATCGTGCATCTGTACAAATAACAAACAATGACGAAATTAAACAATACTTAGATACTAGATGGATTTCTTCTTCGGAATCGTGCTGGAGAATCTTCGGATTTGAACTTTCAAATATTACACCGTCGGTAACACGCTTACAACTTCATCTTCCTAACCAACAAAACATAACATTTTCTGAAACATCAAACATAAATAATATACTTAATACTGAAAAAAATAAAAAAACTATGCTTACTGAATACTTTAAAATGAATGAAACAGATCCACAAGCACGTGATTACTTATATGGCGAATTCCCAGAACATTACGTATGGAATAAAACATCAAAAAAATAGTCAAAACGTAACCAGAAAAAAATGATCGGAAAAATATACACAGCTAATTCTAAAGAAGGAGAATGTTATTATTTATATATACTTCTGAATAACATCAAAGAGGCAAAATAATATACTGACCTAAAATTAGTTAACAGTTATTTGTATTCAACATTTAAAGAAAGTGCAATAAAACGAAAACTTATAGAAAGTGAACCTATGTATAACAAAACTATGCAAGAAGCTGCTGAATATCAAATACCTTCTGCACTTCACCAACAGTTTGCTACTATATTAATCTTTGGAGAACCAACAAAAACTCGAACCCTATGGAATGAAATTTCGCAGCTATGTCAGAAGACCTTGCAAAAAAAGGAATCCCAAATAATTACCTCTGAACAAATGCAGTTCTACTTCAAATAAAATATCATTTAGAACAACATAACAAGTCTCTAAATGAATTTGATCTTCCTGAACTTACTTCAACTGAAGAAGATCCAAATGAATTACCGAAATTATTAATCGATGAATTAAATATTCAAGTAACAAAAGAAGAATTATCAAAAATTGAAATGTTAAACGAAAGTCAAAAAGTGATATTTAATACCATCATCCAACATATTGAAAAAAACCAACCTGCTCCTATGTTTGTAGACGGACCTACAGGTACTATATAAATATATATATGCTCATTCAGCTTTCTAAAACAAAAAAAAAAAACTATCAAATACATGCAAATTAACAAATAATAATATAAAACTAATTAAAACTGTATACAAATAATAATAGTTAATCTAATCTAACATTAATCTTAAACCTTAAATTTACAGGCTCAGGAAAAATCTTCCTTTACTTTTGCCTACTTGCGATAATACGTTCAACATATTCAATAGCTATAGCAACCGCATCAACTGGCATAGAGCTCTATTAATGCCTGGAGGCCGAACCGCACATTCTAGATTCAAAATACCTTTAAACATCGCCCCAAATTCAACTTGTAATATCAGTAAACAAAGCCATTTGGCTAAACTACTAAAATCCGCCAAACTAATAATCTGGGATGAAATTTCAATGATGAACCGTCATTCAATAGAAGCTTTAGACAAAACTTTAAAAGATATAATGGAATGTGACAACTATTTGGTGAAATGATAATCGTGTTTGGTAGTGATTTCCACCAGATTTACCCGTAATTCCAAGGGGAAGCTATGCCCAAATCATAAATGCAACATTAAAATCATCTTCATTATGGTCTAAAATAAAGGTTTATCATCTTCAACAAAGTATGCGGGTAGAAGATGAACCTGAATCTAACAATTTTAAAGAATTTTTACTAAGAATAGGAAACAGAACAGAACAAACTGTTGAAGATAACATGATCCGTATTCCTGATAAGATGGTAATAAAATGGCACAATGATCAATCTTTGCAAGACCTTATAAAATCAACATATCCACTTCTACAAACTCACATTCTGAATACCCAATATTTCACTGATAAAATCATACTAACCACAAAGAATGAATATGTCGATCATGTCAATGACACAATATTGGACTATTTACTAGGCGATAATATAACATACCTTAGTTATGACTGTGTCCTCAATGATAATCATAACCTTTATCAACAAGAATTTCTTAACTCAATATCAGTCAGTGACATCCCCCCACACAAACTCAACCTAAAAACTAATACACTAGTCATATGTCTTCGAAACTTAGATCCGATAAACGGACTATGCAACGGTACAAGACTGATTTGTCAAACTTTTAGTATTAACATTATTAAAGCTAAAATAGCTACAGGCGCTCATAAAGACAAACGAGTATTCCTCCCTTGAATAATATTAACTCCACCGAATGATGCTAAACTTCCTTTCACATTAAAGAGAAAACAGTTTCCAATTAAACTCGCCTTCACCTTAACGATTAATAAATTGCAAGATCAAACCATTCCAAATGTAGAACTCTACCTCCCTGAACATGTGTTTACACATAGTCAACTCTACGTAGCATTTTCAAGAGCTCAATCTTACCAAAACATCAAAGTATTAGTAAAGAATGGTGAAATTGATAGTAAACAAGGTATTTATACGCAAAACGTTATATACAAAGAAATATTAAACTAAGCAATACAATATAATCCAACTATGTATTTACAAATATTAGCATACTATCAATAAAACAAATAAAAATAACATCAAGATCCAATACTAGAAAACCAAATTCAACTAAAAAAAAAAAAATGCAACCCGATTTTATTAACAAATAATAATAATAATAATAATAATAATAATAATAAAACAAATAAAAATAATAATAAAACAAATAAAAAAAAAAAATAACTATAAAACTAATAATTAAACCAATAAAAAAGAAGTAACAATCTTTTATATAATTAAATCAACGTACACTCGAATTACTATGCAAAGACCTTACTACAGGCTCTTTATCTTTACTAAGAGAAGCATTTTTCTTACTCTTACTATTTTTACCAGATTCTTCACCACCTTCTTGAACGCAACCAGAAAAAAAATCATCACTGTTTAAACAAGATTCATTTTTAACATTCATGAAATATTCATAGGAAGACTCATCATATTCTTCAACTCTTGCACGTTTTACTGAACTAGAACAACCTGCAAAATTAAAATCAGAACTATCAACAAAATTATTTGAACCACCCTGAATTCCATCATCTAACTTTTCTTCAGAATCACCAACAATATTTTTATGAGTAACCAAAAGCTTAGAACGAATCGAACTTTTAGATAATGAAGAATTACAAGATATGTCCCTATCAAAAAATTTCTTCTTACTACTAAATCGAGTATCAACATAGTTAATATCTTTAGCATATATGTAAAATTCATTTTTGATAATCTCCAATTGACCAACAACAAAAATCAACAATTCTTGAGGACGAATTGTATCCTTAACTCGAGTTAAACGCAAATTATAATAAGAAAAAACAACTTTCATTATAAAATTATACTCCTGACCCGAAAAATCAAACACTAAAGTTTTAATAACATAATCATCTTTAACCTCGCAAGGCAACTCTTGAGAAATCCCAACTAGAGATACCTTCAAAGGACATTTATTCAACTCGACAATCTTATTGAAAATAGACACATGCGTGGAAGAAGAAACAATCATCTAATTTTATACAAAATTAAAATACAAAAAAAAAATGAACACAAAACAAATAATAAAAATAAAAAAAAATTAAATTAAATAAATAAAAAATAACATAAAAAAAATAAAAAAAAAGACATAACAAATATCTTTGCCCTTTTATTACCTCCATAAAACCCAGGAATAATTTTGCCACCAACACAAAAAAACTATCCTTTTCAAAAACCACCTGGGTCTCCAGATCCCTTTCATCCAATTTTAAGGGCACGAACAAAGACATTTCGATATCATAATCTTCTTGCTCTACTGGATAAGTACTGAGAGCCCAAACTACTAACGATTCTATCTTCTCATTTTCATGAAAAGTAACGTACTTAATTCTAACGATCATATCTGCATAACACAGCATTATGCAAGCAATAAATTATACAAACAATAAATAAACACAAAAAAAAAAAAAAAAACTACAAGTAAAAAACAGCAAAATTATATACTCACACAGCACATTCATCATAACATTCCAATTCAAAGCATTCAATCAATATCTTCAAAAAAATATATTGATTATAAAATCCACTAACAAAAAAACATGTGAAAATAAAATTAAAACTACATCATTCTAATAACACAACCATGAAATTACTAAAAATAAATAATTACAACATTAAACAAACTAAACTAACCAAATTTATCACAAAAAAAAAAAATTAAACACATAAAAAAAACTACCAATAATATTAAAAATAAATAACCGCCAATCTACCTCAACAAATTAATAATAAACTACAACTGTACTAAACCAACACACTAACTAAAATATAAAAATATATAAAAAAAAAAAAACATTTACCCGAAAACACAACTATATACAAACTAAATCAAAACCTACAATCTACAACATAAATAACAATATCGCAATCTAATCGTAAATAAACATTATAAAAAACAAAAAAAAAAATAACTAAACCAAAAAATCTTATAAAATTACAATGCATATATAATCAAAAAATACAGTCTCGTGACGAAGTCACAGGCAGGGTGCTAGCTTTTATATATGCTGTATATACTATTATATATAATGATTTATGTTTTGAGTTCTAAGCCAAATTTCTAGTTTGTCTAAAATTTTTTTTTTAAACAAAGCTTTTGTTGCCTGTTTTTATTCTAGTAACTATATAGCTTTTGTCTTTTATATTTTATTTTACATTACTTGCTCTTTTTTTTTTTTTTTTTTTAAGCAGTCTTGTTTTTATTTATTTGAACTATTATGTGACTAAAATACATGTATATAAATCTTTATAGTGTAATGTTCTAATCTAATAAAAACTCACCAAGCACTTGCCCAGTGTGACCTGCCAAAACAACAATTCACCTCCCTTGGGACCCTTAACTTTCTAAGGATTTTGTACTATAACAATACCCCTTGGTTACTGGTTGGCTGTTGTCTGCCATGTCAAGAATGCTTAAATATTGGATTTAATTCTAACTAGTGAAGACTATGCTAGTTTGTTACCCATAAGACCCATTCTTCGATTAGATTTTTTTTCACTTTAGCTGCTTTGAGTTTTGTATCTTTTGCTCTAGTTTTTGATTTCTTGGCTTTTGCTTCTCCTTCACCAGCCTGTGGGTCTACGTTTTCTTTATCGGGGTCATCTCTTTTATTCTCCTTTCTTTTTTCCTTCTTCTCTCTTTTATCTTTCTTGGTTATTTCTCTATTCTTTTCCCACTCTGCCACTAATTCACACTGAAAATTCTATATATGCCTTCAGAATTGCATTTTAACTTTGTTAATGAAAGCCAGAAGGAACTTGAAAATCCTCTTCGCTTCACATAGCAGGGAGCTAAATCTTTTCATTCTTTTTTTTTGTTATGAGGCCTTTTATTAGCTCTATTCTGGTTGAAATTCTTTCCTATAGGTCTTCTCTGAAAATTATTTCTGCGATCCTCTGAATTTCTGTTATTATAAGCTTTTCTTTCTCTTTTTTAGCTTTCTTAACAATAACCTCACTTTCTTCTTTCTCTATAATTTCCCATAATTATTGATACTCAGAACATTCGGCGAGGTGTTCTTGTGTTTTAGCTTCTTGACAGCATATCTTGCATTTATTATCTGTATATATGTTCGCTTTTCTCTGGTGTAGAACTTTCATCATTGGCAGCAGATCACCCAAGTACTTGATCTTAAAAACCTAATCTCTATGTCTTTCTGCACTTCTGCACATATTACCTTTATCTTTGCCTATATCTTTCTATATCTCCTTCCATTTAATTGCCTTGTTACTGTTCTTTATTGTCACCCATTTGTTTATACTTTTCAGGCTTTCTATTCCATGTCTATACTAAATTTGGTTAATCTTGTGATAAAGCTTTTTGTTGTATCATCTACTCTTGTTTCTTGCCATCTGAGTTCAGTTATGGCTTGCTTGTTCCAAGGCCACTTGGGATTCAGGACCACCTAACTGTGTATTCCTTCTTTTGCCAATTTATCTGCCTTCTCATTACTTTGTATACCACTGTGTGCTTTGACCTTGTTGAGCTGAATCTTTAGTTCTTTTAGATCTATTGTTCTTTAGATTTGTTCTAGAAAACATAAATTCTTCTCCCGGACTATTTCACTTTGCTTGATTTTGTCCTCATTTGTCTGTATTACTTGTATCGCAGCTGTATTATCTATCTAAATGCTAATTGAGGTCTTGCAGGAAACAACTAGTAGAGCTGACCAAATAGTACCTAGTTCAGCTCTTGTTGAGGATGGCCAGTCTCTTATTGTATCTTGAAACTCTGCTACAAAGTGGTCATGCTTTTTGTTATTGTTTTCAATTGCAGCTACCGAGCCAATTTCCATTATTCTTCTATTTGGGGTTTTATCTAGATTCGTGAGTGAGCCATCAGTATAAAAAGCTAATTTTCTGTGCTCTTCTAGCTGTGCTGCAATGCTCTTTAGCTTCTCTGCTGTTTGAGGACTTTCGATTGCTTGTTCAATTATTTCTACTACCAAAGAGTGTATAGTGACTTTGGTTACTTCAACTTTATATACAGAAGGCGTTAGAGCTGTACCTGTTAAACTACTTGGAAATACCATTACCAAGCAGCTTAGGGGAACACTTAGATTCCATATGTGAGGTTTTGTGGGGTCTTTCTGTAACAATCTTTGGTTGATTGCTATCACTTTGTTTTTTACAGACTTGCTTTTCTGACAGGATTCAGGGGTCTCATTTTCTCTACTATTTTGTTTACAACCCCTGCACCTGTTCAGTTTAATCATGTCATTCTTCTGATCATTTGTTGATACCCAGTGCTCTATTGTGTAAGTTCTTTTACCTCTTTTCTCCATTATCTTACCGACCTTGATTCAGTTTTTGGTTTTCATTAAAATCCACTTCTTTCTTCTTCTATCCATGCTTATAGTAACTGGTGCTACTTTTGGGCTTAGGTTGTTTGTAGACTAGGTTTGAAAGATAGATTTAGCTTTTTAACTAGTTTTGTTTATAAGAACTGCGTCTTCTATTTTTGCGAACCAAAATAGTACTTTGCCAACCGCTTTTAGCCTTTTGCACTTCTTAATCTGCTTCCATGTTAGTAGGTTAAGACCTTCATTATCAAGAAGCTGCTCTATAACATAAAGCTCTATTTCTTTTTCTTGGATATAGCTTTTTATTTGTCTTTCTTTGAGGAAGTCTAGTATTTCTATGCCTTTTTCTGTGAGCTCAAGACTTTTTTCTATCTCTTTTGATCTAATACTTATGTTTAATATTTTGTTTTGGTTATAATCTTGTAAGCCAGATTCTGTTTGAGCCTGACTTTTTTTAGCCTAGCCAGATCTAATTCCAGAATATACTTGGTACTTCTGCAGTCGATCTGTGCTTGTTGTATTCTATTGCATGTCGCTATATCTGTATTATTTTGACAGTGCATGTGTTTACAAAGTTCTGTAATATAATGGACCATTTGATTTTGCCAAATTGTTTTTAGGCCAGCTATGTTTCTATATATTAGAATTGCATTTGCTGTTGTGCTAGACAGGTCTGATTTGTTTTTTATCAACTTTACTAAAGAGCTTTGCAGTCTATTACACTGACCTCTCGATAATATACAATGCTGGGGTCTATATTCAAGTCTTGGTATCAATACCCTGTTGTTGATATATATTAGTTGAGCTAAGGTCATACTTTTTTTGCAGATTACTTTTATTACTGCATTGATCTCCTTTTTTGCAGTTTGATATTGATTGGATTTTTTTGAGAGCCAGATGTCTAAAAACCTTGCTGTTTTGGTTATCTTTTTTTCTGTTACCTTGTCTTTTGTAGACCCTACTTCTATATATCTAAGATTCTTTTCTTTTTTTCCACCCACTATTAAAAGCTCAGACTTTTTTTATATTATTAAGCTTGTAAAATTCCTGTGCAATTTCTAGTGACTCTTCTAGTTCTTGCTTATTGGCTGCAATATAGGTGGTATCAATGGCATATGCAATCACTGGGACTCGTAAACTCTGTTGTATAGTGATATTTTTACTAAGGCAAACAGGCCAGTTTGTCTCCAATTCATACACTCAGTTATAGTTTTCTTGTAGCTCTGCTAGCAAGGGGACTTGCTCTTTTTTATTTTAAAGCTTTAGCCTATACTATTTAATACTTATATATCTTTAGTATTAGTTTTTCTTCTTTACAAAATTTGATATAGATGATTATTAAAAAGAGTTTATAACTCCTAAATGGTTAAATAGAACTTTGCTATTTATATTATAGTATACAGTTTTATAAAAGCTATAATTTTTAAATAAGTCAATATAACTTTTGCTAAGATAGTCAATTTTTAAATATACTAAAATAAAATATAAATAGAGTATTAAATATTAGATAAATTTAATTTAAAGTTAATAATAATTTTTTTTTACAATTTAACTTTTAAAACTTTACTAAATTTAATATATTATATTAAATTTAGTATAGCAAACAAATATCTATTAAATAATATATAAGGGTGTGGCGACATAGCGAAGTGGTAGAGTTGTCACCCCCAAGTAGCAAGGTCTAGGGTTCGAATCCTACCGGTGACAAAAATTTGAAAACTACTCCTTGTATATCCCTTCCGGATATGTCAACTTAATCTGTAGTGGCATCGT